GAGGTGTGGTCTCGCCCGAGGGTGCCAGGAAGTGCCATGGTGATAGTGCCTGTCATATCCCCTCCCCCTCCCCCCCCAGGACACGATCACCATGACTCACCATAGCCTCTCGGAAGACCTCGGGGGTATTGTCTTAGGCATATAGGGTATAAGGTAGAATATAGCTTTGACCTTCTCCATCTAAAGTGTAAATGTCCCACTGGTGTTTCATTGTTGTTGTTTTTTTTTTATCATTTTCCTTCATTTTTCGGGGATTTCGTTTTCGGGCGATGGAATTTCCACTCTTTATATGATATGGATGAATGTGAAAATGAGAAAAGAAGAAAAGAAAGAAAAGAAAAGAAAAGAAAAGAAAAGATAGGAATAGGAAGAAGAACAAACCATAAATATAGAAAGATAATTAATTATCAGGATGATTAGTTACATGAAAAAATGTAACCAAATAAATAGAAAAAATAACATAAAAACAAAAACAAAAATGTAAATAAATAAAGAGTTACTACAGACAAAAAGATAAAATAAATAATAATTAAAATAGTTACATAAAAACAAAAACAAAAATGTAAATAAATAAAGAGACTACAGACAGACAAAAAATAAATAAATAAAAATAATAATAATAATAAATAAAAACGTGACTACAACGTTATGTAAATGAAAACGACCATTATGAAAATGACACAAATAGAAATGATAGTGATACTGGAAAGTAGATTAATGGCCCCACCGAAGAAAGACCACCCCCATTAAATGAACCACTTAATAATGATTAAAACATGACGCCCGTGCTATTAACAACTGATATTAATGATCATAAGAATGAGTGATGATAAACATGTCATTAAACACCACATGACAAGTATGACAGTGACAGCTACCGAAATGAGGATGTTTGTTTCCATATCAGTATATCTCTTTTTCCAACACCTCAAAACAATTAAAATAATCACGATACTAATTAAAAACAAATCACACACCACGGTGCTTACCATACCAAACATCTCCCCGCTTAATTATGGGAGCGTTGGTATTTTATCAGAAAGAAATGAATGGAGAAATAATAAAAAAAAAGTAATAAGAGAATCGAATCGGACACTGCAGTCTGCGCGAGTCAATTTCCAACGTGTCGGAAACGTGTTAACAAATAGTCTTAAATCACGTGACAAGTCGGCCATCGTTACCACGCCAAGATCCGCCCCGACTTGGCCACGATTAGGCAGTCGAGTTGCAAATCAATCCAATGGAATCATTAAAAAAAAAAAGGAAATACGGGTATAGTATAATAAAAAAAAAAAAAAAAAATGTAATGAAAAGGTGGTGGTGGTGGGGGGGGGGAAGGGGTATAGTATAACATTGAATAAATAAATAAATAAATGCAATGAAAAGGTGGTGGGGGGGGGGGGGAAGGGGTATAGTATAACATTAAAAAAAAAATAAATAAATGCAATGAAGTGGTGGTGGTGGTGGTGGTGGGGGAGAAAGGTAAGGGGATTTCCCCTTTTTGGCTACCTTACCTAGATCTTCCGCCGTGTCCTTGTCGCTTCTGGAACAAGCCGAGTGAAATGAGACTGACTCTTTTTGGGGGGGAAAAACCAAGCTGTGGTGAGCCTTTGTACACGTGGAAGTGCGAATTTACATTTTTTTGCATTTTTGCATTTTTTGGCATTTTATCTACAGAAATTCATATACAAAAGAACCAAAATGTATTATTTGACTTTATACTTCGGCTACAGATAGAAATGAGTAAATAAATGGCAAATAAGTAATGAATTTACAGGTCTGTACATTCTTCTGTACACTTGGTGGTGATTTTGTAGCTATGTACACACGGCAGCAGTATTTGACAGCGTCTTCTTGATGTGCCACGACTACCAGACGCGCGCTGGTGACGTAATAGTGACGTACAGTGACGTATGTATTTTTTTTTTTTTTACTATCGACGAATGAAGGCGGTGAGTGATGACGTAGTGGTGACGTGGCGATGACGTGGCGGTATTTATAAGTGTATGTGTGAGACAGAGATTGCGAACGAGGCCAGATTATGGTGATTCGTGGTGAGCAAGCAATGGGAACCGTCGGCACCGTACGGCACTATCTGATGGTGACGTGTGTGGTGAGCGCAGGTGGTGATGACAATCCCGAGTTGGCTTTGCGAGGGACACAATATCCACTGAATTAAAGAGGGCACTGAAGGATGTATGGTGAGTCGTCACGTGGTTCCGAATATAAACCTGTGCACTTAATCAGCTAAATACAATTATAGATTGTCATAGTAAGCTTGTGAGTACCTGATACCCTAAGTATATGTCTGTAATTTGTATTCCTTTAACATTATTATTATTCTATTATCTTGTCTTATATATATATGACAAAAAAAGAGTTCACTACAAGCATTATGTTCTCTATAGAACTAAAGCGGCCACTATAACATGTTTTCTGTTTTAAAAAAAGAGTATATATAGTTATATCTCCTACAGTCTAAAAAATCTCTCAACTGACTTTTTTTTTTACTCGCATCCAGAGTTCTGTGCTTGCAGGGTTATTCTCGCGAGTGGATCGAGATTTTTGGAGGAAGCAAAGTACGTTACAAGCAATGAGAAGAGTTGTCTTTAAAGCTTGGGTAGAGGAGACGGGGGTTTTAGTACGTAAAGCGAAGGGGGGGAGGTGGGTTGAAATGCGTGAGGATTAGGTTTTTAGAGTACGTGAGAATCTGTGTTGGGTCTTGTTTTGATTTTTTAATTTTCTTCGATTGTGATTTCTTGAGTGAAGTGTTTTTTTTTTTTTCTTCTTGGATTTTTTTAGTCTTTGGAGGAATTTGTGGGTCTTTTTTTTTTCTTTTTTTAATTTTCTTCGATTGTGATTTCTTGAGTGAAGTGCTTTTTTTTTTTTTCTTGGAGTTTTTTTTTAGTCTTTGGAGGAATTTGTACGTGTGAAGGCAAGGCGGTGTTAGGGTTGATTCTAAAAGCTGTGATTGAGGGATTTGATAGCGTGTGATATACGTGATTGAAGCAAGTCTTTATAGTACAAGGATGACTAAGTCTATCTTTAGAAGATTAAGCGAAGGGGTGAATGGAAAGCTACATTACTTCAGGCTAAACTCCAGTACTAGGACCATTTTTTTTCTTTTTTTTTTGTGCGGGGGAAAGGGGGGGGGTAAATTTTTTGGACAGAAACAAGAACCAAAGCAAGAATTCTTTGATTTTTTTGCGGCATCTTTGGGTTTTTTGGCAAATTTCACGCCACTGCCTCTAATCTCAGGAAATAAAACACTGGCAACTCAACCCCTGACTAAGGAGTACTCCAATTCGCCAAACATCTTTTTGCAAAATCTGATCAGCTGACACTCAACACTTGAATCTACATACATTTAGTGTTGATTTTAAATTGCATTCATCATCATTTTATTGAAATATCATCATCATCAACACCAATTTTTTCTCTCTCAAAAAGACACTTGGCGAATCGCAGTGCTCCAGAGACCGGGGTGGGTTGCCAGTTCGTCCTTTTCCCGGGAGTGGACGCAGGACAGCGCTCAGGGGGGATCTAAGGGGAAAGGGAGCGAGATCCAAGTCCTTCGAGGGGAAAAAGGTGCATCGCGTGGCTTGCAGGACATAAGCCTTCACATACGCAGCGAAAGAGGGAGAGGGAGGGGGAGCGCGAGCGAGGGGAGGAGGGAGGGGAGAAGGAGGAATAGGAGGAACTCAACTACGTAGGACCTATTGCCCTCAGGAGGCGAGGTAGCAAAGGGAGGGGAAAGGGGAGGGTGTGCATGGCCTTGGTGCATGTGTGCCAGGCAGGGTCATCAGCGTGAGGTCACCAAGCTAAGCCTCCGTGGGTGTAGAGGGGGTCAAGGTCACAATGCCAGGTCACGCAAAGGTGGGGGAGCGAACAGACTCTGGGAATTTATGAAATAGCGATCACCAAGGATCTCGCTAATGCTAGTTCGCAAAAATGGGCTACGGATGTCGTTCGTTAACTAGTGCGTTCCCTCGTGTCTAATTGCAAAAAGTGCGTGACTAGATATCCATACACAAGATGTGAAAAATCACACACATACTATATGTATATACAGATATACATGAATACAGACAGACACAAAAAACATACATGTCGAGCGATATGTATATATATATATATATATTATATATATATATATATATATATATATATATATATATATATACATATATATATGTATATATGTATATATATATATATATATATATATATATATATATATATATACATATATACATATACATATACATATACATATACATGTACACATACATATACATACACATATGCATATGCATATCCATATGCATGTACATACATACATACATATATAAAGTAATATATATATATATATATATATATATATATATATATATATATATATATATATATATATATATATATAATATATATATATATATATATCCATATCCATATATATATGCATATACACATATACATATACATATACATGTATAGTTATGTATAGCTATATATATATATATGTCTGTATGTATTTAGTTATACATATATACTTCTTCAGTACAGATAACCACTTGTAAATACATGTATGCATGTGCCATAGTTTAGTATAATCTATATATACACAATTTACGTATAGAAATACATACATCTGTACACAAAATCTTTCCATGCATGGCTGCTTTGTAATCTCAAAACTATAGCTTCTAAATCTGTACATTTCTGACTCGCTAAGTAAAAAACAGCAGCGCAGCCGTGTGTTCTACAGATGGCAGACTGACGCGGCGGCAGGTGGCAGCAGCACCCAAACCCGGCCAGGCTAGGACACATGACAGCCACGTCACCGTCGCCGCGATCGTGCCACCCTGCGCCCCAAGCTGCCATTCAATTAGGGCGACTCTACTACACAAATGCTCTAGGAAAACGAGCCCAATTGAAGGCGCGCGCGAGGGCGAGTCAGGGTGAATCGCGAGAGGCGGAGGAGAAGCAGCGGAGCGTACCAAGTCTTGCGCCAGAGGTGTCTTGTCGCCGTCAGGAAGGTGCTCCTCCATGGCCAGCACCACGCAGTTGGCGATGATGGTCAGCAGCACTGCGTACTCGAACGGAGTGAGGCGCGAGTTAAGGAAAACCTGGGAGCTTCGTGGATAGACCACACCAGGGAAAAATTGGAAGTAAAAAAAGATAACTGTAATATGAGGCATTATAGTTTTATAACCTGTTTAGGGGTAGGGTTGAGAGGATATGCGTTGTATGCTATATCTATGATGCATACTATAGACACATACATAGGAAATTGGAAGTAAAAAAGATCATTTTGATGAATATACATGTTATATACTATATCTATGATGTATCCTATAAAAAGCACATACAGGAAAAACAACAAAAAAAACACCTCACTGTGTTATAAGACATTACTTATGCATAACCTGTTGGGAAGAGTATAGAGGTTATACGTGCTATACACTATATGTTGTATTGTTGTATCCTGTACCTGTATACCTGAATCACAAGTATGAATTAGTACATGACATGCATCTCTTTCAAGACAGTTCACACACGCAACGTCGTCACGCACACACCACGTACACATGTGTAAAAATATTGGCATTCATATTTCAAGATGATATGAGTATATGTTTGTCCGGACGTTGTATGTATGTGTGTGTGTGTCCTTCTCTCTCTCTCTCTCTCTTTGTTTGTGTGTGTGTGTGTTTGTGTGTGTGTGTGTGTGTGTTGTGTGTGTGTGTGTGTGTGTGTGTGTGTGTGTGTGTGTGTGTGTGTGTGTGTGTGTGTGTGTGTGTGTGTGTGTGTGTGTGTGTGTGTGTGTGTGTTCACGTATGTGTGTATCTATAACAGTATATACAAGGTAAAATTTAGATTCACTGATATCATTTATAGACAAAGTGAACAACAGGGACGTCTTAAACTCGATAAACCAAGAACAAGTTTGCAAGAATAGTACAATCAAGAACAACAAGAAGTATGCTAATGGGAAGGGAAAACCACGAACACAAATAGAGAGAGAGAGAGAGAGAGAGAGAGAGAGAGAGAGAGAGAGAGAGAGAGAGAGAGAGAGAGAGAGAGAGAGAGAGAGAGAGAGAGAGAGAGAGAGAGAGAGAGAGATAGAGAGATAGAGATAGATAGATAGATAGGATTGATCTTACAGCTCCGTCTTGCGCAAACAGATCTATGGCAGTACCCAGTGACCCTTGCTATAGCCTGCATGCAGCTCTTCTTCCTCTCCTCCTCTCTCTCTTTTGCTTTATCTCTCTCTCTTTTCTCTTGCTCTTTCTTGCTCTCTCTCTCTCTCTCTTGGTCTCTCTCTCTTTCTTGCTCTCTGTCTCTGTCTCTCTTCTCTCTCTCTCTCTCTCTCTCTCTCTCTCTCTCTCTTCTCTCTCTCTATCTCTCTCTATCTCTCATCTCTCTCTCTCTCTCTCTCTATCTATCTATCTATCTCATCTCTATCTATCTCATTCTCTTTCTTTGTTTCTTTTCCTTTGCTTACTTCTCATTCGCTTTGTAAATCTGTTCTATCATTTTACATAATTTTAAGATAAACTATTTTTTTTTCTACCTTTTATCATATCTATCATCTTTTCTCTGTCTATGGTCTTGCAACATTTTCTCAACACTTATCTCATTCGTCTTTTCTTTTATTCCTGCTCCTCCATTCTTGCATTCCCTTGCGCATTTAATTCCAGTGACGTCATAGAATATTTTTTCTTATGCGAGTGAGAAAATGAAATAGAGATTGTGACGAATCTTGTCTTATCTCCCTCTTCTTCCCCCCTCCCCCTTTTTCTTATTAATATTTTTCTTTTCTTCCTTTCTCTTTTTTTCTTTACAGCTGTGTGTGTGTGTGTGTGTACGTGTGTGTGTATGTGTGTGTGTGTGTGTGTGTGTGTGTGTGTGTGTGCGTGTGTGTGCTTGCGTGTGTGGTGCGTGAGTGAGTGAGTGTGTGTGGTGTGTGTGTGTGTGTGTGTGTGTGTGTGTGTGTGTGTGTGTGTGTGCGTGTGTGTGTGTGTGTGTGTGTGTAGGTGGAATTTATGAATGGCGGAGGGAAAGTGTAGGTGTGTGAGGGAATGAAGGCTCTCGTATGAATAAGGCTGATTAATGTTTCCATATTATTACGCGTTTGTAGGAGAGGAGAGAGAGAGAGAGAGAGAGAGAGAGAGAGAGAGAGAGAGAGAGAGAGAGAGAGAGAGAGAGAGAGAGAGAGAGAGAGAGAGAGAGAGAGAGAGAGAGAGAGAGAAGAGAGACAGAGACAGAGGCAGAGAGCAGAGAGATAGAGAGAGAGAGAGACAGAGAGAGAAAGAGAGCAAGAAAAGAAGAAAGAAACAGATGAAAAAAGGACAAGAGAGTGAGCAGCTTAAAGTCTCCAGAGCCGATGACACATGGTCGGGCGCCTGCTGTGGGCGGGCATGGCAGTGGGTGGCGATTTCCAGGAAGAGGGCGTGGGTGAGAGTGAGTGTCTGCTTAGTGTAAGAGGCGTGGGTGTTTGTGTGACGCCATAGCAGCATTGGCGCCAGACAGACCCCCTCGCCCCCTCCCTCCCCTCCCGACTCTCCGCACTGCAGCAGACATCCAGGCTACCCCCAGCTGGTCTGGAAAGTCGGCACCACGCTGAGGGCAACACTCCACACACACCCACCCGGAAGTTGCCAACGATTGTTTACCAACACGCTGCGCCGCGATTCCACCAATTTTTTTTTTCCTTTCCTTTCCTGCGGATAATTTTTGCGGATAATAATGAGTACATCGCCATTTTCTTCTGATCTCCTTAGTCCTCGCTCTTTCAGGAAGTCCCCGGCTCTCTCGACCAGACTTGGCATGGTTAAAGAGATCTAAATTTAGAAAATGTGCCTTCTTATGCTGGCCTAGATTATCCTTTTAAATCTAGATATTTTTAGCCCAAACGAGGGAGAAAAAATAGATTATCAACCGAGTAAATTTTGGGGAGGAAAGAGGAGAATCGTGAAGAAGGAGAACGGAGGCAAATCACACCACAAGAAAATATAAAGAAGAAGAAGAAGAAGAAGAAGAATCGTGAAGAAGGAGAACGGAGGCAAATCACACCACAAGAAAATATAGAAGAAGAGAAGAAGAAGAAGAAGAAGAAGAAGAAGAAGGAAGAAGGAAGAAGAAGAAGAAGAAGAAATGGCGTTTTTAAAAGAATCAAATCTATCTTACGATATCTGTGTTAATTAGTTATTAGTATCTGTAGCTGAAGGGAGGTTAACTTCTCTTCGTTGTAATTAATAATGATTATAACCAAAACTTCCAAAGTGTTTTTTTTCTATCCCTTTAATAATTAATAGTCGAGAGAAAGAGAGAGAGGAGAAGAGAGAGAGAGAGAGAGAGAGAGGAGAGAGAGAGAGAGAGAGAGAGAGAGAGAGAGAGAGAGAGAGAGAGAGAGAGAGAGAGAGAGAGAGAGAGAGAGAGAGAGAGAGAGAGAGAGAGAGAGAGAGAGAGAGAGAGAGAGAGAGAGAGAGAGAGAGAGAGAGGACAGATAAATAGATAGACAGATAGACAGACAGATATATAGATCGGTAGAATAACAGACAGACAGATATATAATAAATAGATAGATAGATTGATAGATAGATAGATAGATTGATAGATAGATAAGATAGATTGATAGATAGATAGACAGATAGATGGGTAGATAGATAGATAGACAGATAAATCAATAGTTAGACTGAAAGGAAAATAGACAGATATAGATGAACAAATAGATAAATAGACAGGCAGATAGATAGGCCAATAGACAGGTATGCAGATAGACAGATGGATAGGTGGAGAGGGAGACTAAGAGATAGATAGACAGACTGATAGCCAGAGAGAGTGAAAGAGAAGGAGGAGTCAGATAGATAGATAGTTAGATAGATGAATAGAAGGATAAATATTGGACAAATGAAGATAAAGACAGACAGGAGAACGAACGAGAACGAGAGGAAGAGAGAAAACGAATGAATGAGATAGAGAACGAGATTAATAGAACAATCGAGAGAGAATCAGAGATAGATAGATGGATAGATAGATAGAGCGAGAGAGAGAGAGATAGATATATATATATAGAGAGAGAGAGAGAGGGAGATAGATATATAGATAGATAGCTAGATAGAGAGATAGATAGATAGAGATAGATAGATAGAGGATAATAGATAGATAAAGAGAGAGATAGATAGATAGAGAGAGAGAGAGAGAAGAGAGAAAGAGAGATAGAGATAGATATAGAGAGATAGATAGATTAGAGAGATAGATAGATAGAGAGATAGATAGCTAGAGAGATAGATAGAGAGATAGATAGAGATAAATAGATAGATAGAGAGAGAGAGAGAGAGCGCGAAGGCCAAAGACAAGGACAGGACAGCCATTCCCCGAGACTCCGAGACACTCGCTCCAACTCCGTCCAGTCACGTCGGGGAGTTCCGTTGTCTTCGAGGGATATATATATATATATATATATATATATATATATATATATATATATATATATATATATATATATATATATATGTATTTTTTTTTTTTTTTTTTTTTTTTTTTTTTTTTTTTTTTTTCTTTTTTTCTTTTCCTTTTTTTTTTTAGTAGTAGTAGTAGTAGCGGGTATATATAATATATATATATATTTTTTCCTTTTTCTTTTTTTTTTTTTTTTTAGTCGTAGCGGGCAAGGCTTTCGTAGGATTTTATGAGGCGCCGTGACATCCGTGCGGGTTATTTACGAGCGCGCGAGGCCGGGGGGGGGGGGGGTTGGGTGGGTGGTGGGGGTGGACATCGGTTTAGATTTTTAATCAGTGACGGCATATCATCTCAAGAGTGGGCGGGGGGGAGGGTTGGGGGATGGGGGAAGGGGTAGGGAGAGGAGGTGGGGAGGAAGGAGGGGGGAGAGGAGGGGTAGGGGGGGAGAGGAGGGAGGGGTAGGTGGAAGGGGAAGGGGAGGTGGGGAGGGGAGGGAAGGGTAAGGGAATTGGGGGAAGGGGGGTGGGGAGGAGGGGGTTAGGGGAGTGGGGGGAAAGGGGGAAGGGGTGGGAGAAGAAGAAGGAAGGAAGAGAAGAGAGAAAGCAAGAAAGATAGAAAGAGAAACAAACTAACAGAGAGAGAAAAAAAAGAGGAAAAGGCGAAAGAGAAATAGTAATATTCAGCCTTTAAACAAACGAACAAACAAACAACTAAATAAACGAATCCTGAAATAAGTAAACAACAAAAGTAATCAGATTAAAACACCATCCGATTGGAAATATAAGAAACCAAAAAGAAAAAAAAACAAAAACAAAAACATCAACCAAAGTTATGCTACATCAGTTCATTCACAATGTTGACACAAAACTTTAAGTCTTCGAAAAAAAAAAAAAAAAATGTTTCGAAAACTTGTTGATGATAAAAAAAAAGTTTGCAAAAGACCTGCAACACATAACACACGGTCATGACATCGCGAACGCCCTCCCTTTGTGTTGCACCGTCTTGTCTACATGGAATTAGCACTACATGAAGGT